TCCGATCGCCGTCCGGATCGCGTAAGAGCTCCCTGAATTCGCCGCTCAGCGACGAGAGAAAGAACTCGGTTACTATCAAAATTAACGACCAGGACGGTTTAGAGTCGAGTCCCGAGAATTCCATAACAGGCAGTAAAATGATCCAACAGTCCCAGCACAAGTCGCGCATTTCCAAAAGCCCGCTCAGGGTGTTGAACAAAATGCGAACGTGGGGCAGCCGGGACGCGCTCGATGACAAAACCGCCACGGTTAAAGTAGAGTACAGTGTCGTAGAAAACGTCATATCCATACCGCAGCTGAACCGTCGCGATTCGGATGATCAGATGTTGAGCAACGTCGGTGGTCAAGTCTCGGTGCCCAGATTTCTTGCGGCAAACTCGCGCGAGGGGATAGACTTTGAGAGCCTCGAATCGGAACTGTGCAACTTTGATTCGGAGCATTCGAACGATAGCACGAGATCGAAGAGTTCGTTAGGACCGTATCACGTCGAGGCAACGATCTCCCGGCACAAAAGGTCGCCGATTGCTTTCGAACCGGACGCGCTATCCGCGTATCGTCTAGATCATGGCATCGAGATGAATTCCCTTTTGCATCACAAGTCCAGGAGTAACGAGTATTTGCGCAGCTGCATAGACGGCGAAATGTCATCCGGTTGTTCGCTCCAAGAGGGGAGCGATCGTCAGAGCTCGCGTGCCAATTACAGAAGTCCAAAAAGAAGTCTGCCCGCGTCGCCCCCGATTGATAACGCCGGTCTTTGTCTATCTTTGACCTCCGAAGATATGGACATCACGTCTACTAAGAATTTCGCTGCTGAACAAGTCCTGAGAAAGAGCGATAAGTAGGCTTCGACAAAACGGATGTACTCTCGCGACTTTTTGTATACAGTGTTCCTGCCGCTACCTTTTCTCTTCCAAACGATTAGAATTACGTTATCGATACGATAAATCGCACGAGTTTCTTGCAGGATATAAACGCGGTATCCATTAAACATGCAGCCGATGATTATCCTGTATTCGATGAGAATGCAAGTAGAGCTTGCTGCTCGAAACGCATTTCGATGGCATGTCTTTTTTTCTCCCCCAGTGCACTTTTCTCCTTACATATACATACTGGTATATTCGAAGAATTTCGTACTGATCGTGTGTTTCTATTCTATCGCAGGCCTCTCTGAGGAAAGCATCTACCATACCCGTAAGTTTTCTCACGCAACGGTTGTTATGTATTTCGCTGAGACATGTCTTCCCTGACCCGCCCTCCTCCATTTCCCCATATTTCTTCCTGTCTAAACTTTTATTCCAAACTCTAATTTTTTTTTCTTTTTTTTTTACTGAACGACGACTCATATTGCGTATATTGTAAAGCTAAGGCGACGAGATCTCAAGTAGACACTTTTTACTTTCGTAACTAAATGGTTTGCAATGAGCCCTATTATGTAGTTTATTGCTTAGTTGGTTGATCACATAGTTGATAATGCATGTATACACCAATCGATAGTGTTTTCGTTTCTCATCGTTTCTATCAATCGTTGGCAACGAAGGATTGATAGGAGAACGACACAATTTTTTAGATTTGTTTTGGACGATCTGTGTACGCGTCTTGTGAATGTTCGATATCCTTGTTTGTACATTGTTGTCCAGATAATTTTATTGAGATGAACTCGGTCTCCGGTAGTGCAGCGTGAACTTATTCTGACTTGCGAAGTGGACTTCGGATTAAATCCGGTGAGGGACCACAGATTTTAGAAATTTAAGTTTAATCTTGTACGTATGAAACGCGGAGAGAAAAGTCGCAGGCTGGTGCGGACCTAAGATTGCCTCGAAAAATGTCCAAAGTATATTTAAGCACCAATCTTTTCTAATAATTGTTTATGCAAAGGGCATAGACTTGTTCTTTTTATATTTCAAATAAAATTTACGATTATTATTTATCCTAATTTAAGGCGATGTGATACTCGTAGTTCGAGTAAGCTGACAATGAGATCTAACGAGAGAGAAAGAGAGCGCATAAGAGAAAAAAGAATATAGAAATATATATACATATACGCAGTCTTTCTGGTGTTGGTTCTTTTCTGATATTATCTGGAAGACATTTAACATTTCTAACAAGCAGATCTAACAGCCCACTACTACGTGAAAGAGAATCATACGCTTCGTCCATTATCGCAAAGTTCAACTTCAACGGTACTGTTTTTACATTGGAGCATTGTCAGGTTGTATGTGTCTGCATAGTCATAATTTTAATAGTGAAAAAAAAATCAAACAATTACATTGTATGTAATATATAGATATATATTTATATATATATATATATAT